AAGCCACCGGGTTTCTTCAGTTAAAAATGCCGATCAGATTTTGGTGCTCGAAGACGGACGCATAATTGAGCGGGGCAACCATGACGAACTGATGAAAAAAGACGGTTATTACCAAATGATGTACGAGCAACAACTGCTGGAAGACTCAAAAAAGGCTGTGTGATCTTTCCTACATGAATTTCACCTTCTGTAAGATAATTTACATAGCTTTGTGTGCGTTAAATGAATTTTACAATGAGCGATAGAGATAATTTGGGTCCCGAAGAAATTCATTCTAAAGTACTTAGAGCCGGTCGGAGAACTTACTTTTTTGACGTGCGAAGTACCAAAGCCGATGACTACTACCTCACCATAACCGAGAGTAAAAAGCACACCAACCACAAGGGGGAAGTGTATTACAAAAAGCATAAAATATACCTCTACAAGGAAGATTTTGATGCCTTTAAGGAGCTGCTGGACGAAACCACCAATTTTATTGTGCGGGAAAGAGGCACCGAGGTTATCTCCGACAAACACGAACCTGATTATCAGAAAAAACATACCGAACAGGTGAATCTTGAGCAGGAGCAAGAAGAGGAAAAGCAAGAGGTAAGCGATTCAAAAGCCTCGGCTTTTACCAACGTAAGCTTTGACGATATTTAGGTCATTCACCTGCCAAGCAAAACGGGAAGGACTGTTTCTTAGAGTGGTGACAGTCCTTTTTTTATACCCCTTCAAAATCTCCACCTGCCCCTATTCTTTTTATTCGGGCTAGTAGTTTAAAAACTCCTCTGCCTGGGCGGTGAGAATGCTTCTTGTTTCGGGGTCATCAATATTTTTGTCTTCGCCCAACAACTCATCTACCCGCGAGATCGGAACCTTAAATGAAAATACTTCCATGCGCAAATGATGCAACACATCGGTGAGGTGATCCATGCCGCGCAGGTTGCCGGCCCGGCCGCTGGCCACGCCCACCAAGGCTACTTTCTTTCCCTTCCAGATATGTGGCTTCACGCCATCTAAAAAGGCCTTGAAAATGCCCGGGTAGCTCCCGTTGTATTCCGGTGAAACCACAATCAATTTTTCTGCGGGCAGTAGCTTGTCTTCAATGAGTTCATCGGTAAATGAGGTTCGGTTGCCAAAACTATCAGAATAGAGAAAGTCTTGCGGCAACTCATTCATTTGCAAAACTTTAACCTTAACACCCCTCGCCTCCAGAATTTCTTTGTACAGCAGAACCACCTTGTTGGTTTGATTTTTAGGACGATGCGTTGCGCAAATTATAGTTATCATCAACGTGTTAAAAATTTAAGGGGCTAATTGCCTTTCTGAATTTTTCGAAAATTGTACTTTAGGCACCCTTTTAAAAACAGGGTAAATCTTTCGATTCTTGGGCATTTTTGCCTTTTGCGTAGGCAAAGTACCGGAAAGATTAGGGAAAAAATAAAGCTTTATAAGATATATGGGAAAGATCATTGCTATTGCCAATCAAAAAGGGGGAGTTGGAAAAACTACCACAGCCGTAAATTTGGCTGCCGCTTTAGGCGTATTAGAAAAGAAAATTCTTTTGGTTGATGCCGACCCGCAAGCCAACTCCACTTCTGCCCTGGGTTTTGACCCCGACAACATCACTTTAGGCACCTACCAGGTTATTGAGCATGAAAGCAAGGTAAGCGAGGTAGTAATAAAAAGCGAGAACCCCAATATGTGGTTGGTGCCTGCGCAGATAGACCTGGTAGCGGTAGAGATTGAATTGGTTGACAAGGATCGAAGGGAGCAAATGTTGCGCCTGGCGCTGGATGAAGTTAAGGATCAATACGACTATATATTTATTGACTGCGCGCCCTCCCTGGGCCTCATTACGCTGAATGCCCTCACCGCGGCCGATAGCGTAATTATTCCTATTCAATGCGAATACTTTGCCCTGGAAGGCTTGGGCAAACTACTCAACACCATTAAGAGTGTACAAAATATTCACAACCACGACTTAGACATTGAAGGGCTTTTACTCACCATGTACGACTCGCGCCTGCGGCTGAGCAACCAGGTGGTTGAAGAGGTGAAAACCCATTTCTCTAAAATGGTTTTCAATACGATCATTCAGCGGAATGTACGCCTCAGCGAAGCGCCCAGTTATGGCGAGTCAATTATCATGTACGATGCTTCGAGCAATGGCGCTGAGAATTATTTAAATTTGGCGCGCGAATTTTTAGAGAAAAACGAGGAGCAGCTGGAAGAAACAACTGCTTAGTCTCAATCAAATATTTAACCCCTGCAACAGCAGCAGGAAATACATACCGGTTTAATGGCAGCACCTAAAAGAAAAGCTATGGGCAAGGGCCTGGCCGCCTTGCTCAAAGACGAGGGCGGAGTAAAATCAGCAAGCGATGACAAGGCCAACGAAATTGTAGGCAGTATTGCCGAAATTGAAATCAGCCGCATTGCAGTTAACCCCGACCAGCCGCGCAGCCTTTTTGATAAAGAAGCCCTGGAAGAGCTGGCAAGCTCCATTCGCGAGTTGGGCATTATCCAACCCATCACCGTGCGTGCTCTTTCCGATGGCAAATTTCAGATAATCAGTGGCGAAAGGCGTTTTAGAGCCGCCAAACTGGCCGGCTTACAGAGCGTTCCGGCCTACATTCGCCTGGCTGATGACCAAACCATGCTGGAAATGGCATTGGTGGAAAATATTCAGCGCGAAGAACTGGATGCCATTGAAATAGCCCTGAGCTATCAGCGCCTTATTGAAGAATGCGAGCTTACCCAGGAAGCCATGAGCGAGCGCGTGGGCAAAAAGCGATCAACCATCACCAATTACCTGCGCTTGCTAAAACTCAGTCCGCTTATTCAGGCCGGCTTGCGCGACAAAATGATTACCATGGGCCACGCCCGCGCATTGGTGAACGTTGATGACGAAGAGGTGCAAATGGAATTGTACCACGATGCCATTGCCAAAGAATGGAGCGTGCGCCAGGTGGAAGATGCCGTGAGGAAAGCCAAAGAAGGTTCCAAAAAGAAAAGCAGCAGCAGCAAAACTGAGCTTCCCAAAGAATTTGAAGACCTGAAAAGCGATTTGGCAGATTATTTGAATGCCGATGTAGACCTGAAGCGCAGCAAGCGTGGAAAAGGCCGGCTGGTAATTCCCTTTAATAACGACCGGGAATTAAACCGGCTCATCAAACTTTTAAAAGACTAATAGGCTATAACACCGCGGTATTTAACATTTCTCATCCCTCTGGCGCTCCTTTTTTCGGGCGTTGATCTGTACGGCCAGTTGAATACCAGCGGCAGCACAGACACCGTGCAATTGACAGACGCCCAGGAGGTTGAAGGAATTGACACCAGTTATGAGCATTCGGTAGCGCGGGCCACTTGGTTGTCAACCGCTTTTCCCGGGGCCGGTCAGTTTTACAACAAGAAATACTGGAAAATGCCCATCGTGTACGCGGGCCTGGGCACCACCATTTACTTTGCCTTTGAAAACCACAAAACCTATCGCCTGTATCTCAACGCTTTTTACCAGCGTATTGACAGCACCCAAACCGATCAGTTTGTAAACATTTACTCTGAGGCCAATTTAATACAGCTTCAAAACGTTTACAGAAAGTGGCGCGATTTGTCTATAATTATTGGCGCGGCCGTTTATGCGCTGCAAATTATTGATGCCCACGTTGATGCGCACCTGTATTATTACAATGTTGATGATAATCTTACCTTGCGCTTAGAACCTGGCTTACAGCCGAACGGAGCTTTTCCGGCCGTGGGCTTTAACTTAACCCTCGACTTTAGATGAAGGCAGCACTTATTGGATACGGCAAAATGGGCAAAACCATTGAAGGCATACTTCAGGAAAGAGGCCATGAAGTTGTAGCCCGCTTTGGGCGCGAAGGGATAGATGAAAGTCGACTAAAACAAGCCGAGGTAGCCATAGAATTCAGCAGGCCGGAGGGCGCGTTCAGCAATATAATTTGCTGCATTAAAAATAAAATTCCGGTTGTGATTGGCACCACGGGCTGGCTGCAACACTACAACGAAGCGGCTCAGCTCTGTGAAAAAGAAGGCAGCGCCATGCTTTTTGCTTCCAATTTTAGCCTGGGCGTAAACTTGTTCTTTGCCCTCAATCGGCAGTTGGCCCAATTGATGAAAGACTACGAGGCCTACGATGTTTCCATGGAGGAAATACATCACACCGAAAAGAAAGACGCCCCCAGTGGAACCGCCATAACCCTGGCCGAGCAGATAGAAGAAGTACATCCGCGCAAGCAAGGGTGGACCCTGGAAAAGCAGCACGGACCTGAGCAAATTCATATTGAAGCCAAGCGCATACCCGATGTGCCGGGCACGCACAGCATTACCTACCGATCAGAAATTGACGATATAGAAATAAAACACACCGCCCATAGCCGCAAAGGGTTTGCCCTGGGCGCGGTGCTGGCAGCCGAGTTTTTACACGATAAAAGCGGGGTGTTTACCATGAAAGACGTTTTAAAATTAAGCTAAATGCAAGAAGCACTAACCTACCTGGCCTTTATACTTATTTACTTTTTCATTTTTGGCCTGCTGGCCATTCCCTACCTCACCAATGCCGGGCGTAAAACCTGGGAAGCATTGGTTCCGGGCTACAACATTTACGTTATGACCCGCATTATAGAGCGGCCCTGGTGGTGGGTTATTCTCACCGCCCTGCCCGTGGTGGGCAACGTAATGGTAATTGTTATCATGTACGAGCTCATGCACGTGTACCGCTTTGGCAAGTTTCTCAACATTTTAATTGCTGCCCTAACCGCGGGCTTGTATTTCGCCTACCTGGGCTGGACGCAAGACATGAAGTTTCAGGGCTGCGACATCAAAGAAATTAGAAGGCACATCAGCGAACTGGCGGCCGCTATAATTTTTGCCGTAGTGGCGGCAACGGCCATTCGGGCCTTTACTTTTGAGGCCTTTACCATACCTACGCCCTCTATGGAGAAATCATTAATGGTGGGCGATTTTCTATTTGTGAGTAAGGCCCACTACGGGGTAAGGCTGCCCATCACCCCGCTTTCTGTGCCCCTGGTGCACAATCATTTACCGGGGTCAAGCACCCTAAACTCCTATTCAGAACTGATTACCCTCCCCTATTTGCGATTGCCGGCCTTTACCGACATTGAACGCAACGACCCGATTGTGTTTAATTACCCGGCCGAGGATATTCGCGGCACACCCTTTGGCATGGAGGGCGAAGTTCGGCCCATTGACAAAAGAGAACACTACGTAAAACGCGTGATTGGCATGCCGGGCGATACTTTGCGTATTAATGACGGGGAAGTGCTCATAAACGGGCAGGAAAATGAATTGCCACCGCGGGCGATAAAACAGCGCAGCTATTTTGTAAACGCCAACCAAGGCACCTTTAACCTTCAAAAGTTTAAAGATGAGTTTGATATTGACCAGGAACTGGCAATAAAAGGCGGGCAGGAAAACCAGCAAAACGGTTCCTATACCTACTGGTTAGACCTGACGGATGAAACCGCAGCGGCCCTAAAAGACTATCCCGGAGTAAACCTGGTGCAGCCCTATATCTTCCCCACCGAACAGGGCAATCCGGTTTTCCCCAACCCGCACAGTCGCCCGGACCTTTACCCCTGGAGCCGCGATAATTACGGCCCACTCTACATTCCCCGTAAGGGTGAAACCATTGCCCTAAACGCTGATAATTACTACAAGTACCAGCGGGTAATTGCCATGTACGAGGGCAATGAGAGCTTTGAGTACAGCAATAAAAAGTTTTTCCTGAACGGGGAAGAAATTACCGAATACACCTTTAAGCAGGACTATTATTTTATGATGGGCGACAACCGCCACAGTTCTGACGACAGCCGTTTTTGGGGCTTTGTGCCTCACGATCACATTGTGGGCAAACCGGTTTTTATTTGGATGAGCTACGACAAATACGGCCAGGGGCTGGATAAAATCCGTTGGGAACGGGTATTCACCACCGTAAGTGGCGAGGGCGAACGCAAAAGCTATTTCTGGTATTTTGCCGGGTTGGTAATTGTGATAACCGCCTTTAATCGGTACCGGAAAAAGCAGAAAAAGGCCAAAGCTTCCGCTTGAAAAAAGGCTTGTTCAGCATAGCGTATTTGCCCTCCGTAGAATACCTGGCGGCAATGCTCTCATGCGAGGAAATCTGGCTGGAGGCCCATGAGTCTTTCAACAAGCAAAGCTACCGCAATCGCTGCTATATTGACAGCCCCAACGGCAGACTCTTGCTCAACTACCCGGTGCAGCACCAGGGAAGAAAGCAAATTGACCAAATAGCGATAAGTGAACGAGAAAACTGGCGACAAAAACACTGGCAGGCCCTGCAAACCAGCTATGGATCCAGTCCTTTTTTTGAAGCCGTTGCCGAAGATTTGCGATTGCTTTACTTTGACACCACGCTAAGCAAACTTTGGGATTTTAACCTGGCCGCCCTGCAGGTAATTTTCAAATGGCTGCGCGTAAATAAGCCTTTGCATTTTACCGAAATCTGGCAAGCCAATCCCGAAAATGCTTCGGATTTTCGGGAAGCCCTGCACCCCAAAAAACCGGGCCTCAGCACTAAGCTTCCCTCCTACCCACAAGTGTTTGACGGCAAGCACGGCTTTCAGCCCAATTTATCGGTGGTGGATTTAATTTTTAACGAAGGCCCCGCAGCCTATGATTACCTGGCCGGTTTGAAACTAAAGGCTTAAAATCTGGTAAGACCTGCTCCAGCAAATGCCATGAACTTCCGATTTCCCTTTCCCCCACGCCCCGTTCATTCCCGGCTAATTTATAACTTCGCGCATCATTGAATGTATGAAGAAACTAGCGCTCCTCTCCCTTTTCTTATTTATTAGTGCCCACCTCTTTGCGCAAAATTGCAAGTACGTGCTGAGCGCTGAAGTTACTGCTGAAAGTGGGCTCACGCTGCGGGCCAGCCCTTCGCTAAGCGGCAAGGTGCTCACCTACGTGCCGGCAAATGCCCAGGTGCGTGCCTGCCAGGAAAAAGGCGATGCGCTGGTAGTGGAGGGCATTTCCGGGCATTGGCGCCCGGTGCAGTATCGGGAATTTACCGGGTATATGTTTGACGGCTTTCTGAATTTGCCCACCGCAAAGCCAGCCAACAACACCCTGGACAGCCTGCGCCAACGCAGCCAACAACTCATCCGCCAGAGCGATAGCATTTTGGGCAACGAAACTGATGCGGCAATGCCCGATGACAAAAAAGAAAACGCAGCAACAACTGAAGCCTGTAATTATTCCCTAAAGGCCACCGTAACCGCTCCCAGCGGATTGAGTTTTAGGCAGGCCCCGAATTTGAAGGCCAAGCTGATCAGCACGGTGGCTTATCAGGAAGAGGTGCTTACCTGTTCGCAAACCGAGGGGCCGCTTACCGTGGGCGATTTAAAAGGGCACTGGCGCCCGGTGATGTACCAGGGCAAAAAAGGGTACATGTTTGACGGCTACCTTCAAATTGAATCGCCTGACGTGCGCCCGGCCGCTAACAAGGAAGCTCCCGGGCAAAGCAAGGCCGACCTTCACCCCCATTTTTCGGGGGCCAGCAAAACCGGCTTTTTGATTGAAACCTATAATTATTGTGGCAACGTGGAAGCCGTGAATGCCGGATTGCTCTGGTACGGTGTATATCCCGAAAAGGAAGAAGAAGGACAAGGCCTGTTTCGCGTGAAGCCGGTAGACTTGGTGATAAAGTTGAGCACCAGTAAGCTCAGCGAAAAAATGGAATTCGACATTTCTACCGAAAGCGATGAACGAAGTTTGTTTTTAATTGGTTTAAACCGCAGCTTGAAGTATCAGCAAATTTCCATTGACGATCACAGCGCCAAATTGCGCATGTTGGGCAACCGCATTCTGCCGGGCCAAAGTACGGCCCTGGGCGGAGGCGTGAACCTGGCGGCTACGGGCAGCGTAGAAAGCACGGGCGAGTGTCCGGAACTGAAAAATTATCGCCTGCTGGCCAATTTCAAAGGGATGGAACAAAACCTGCTCAACGAAATTGGCGAACCCGGAGCCTGCGGCATGCCTGAACTGTACTGGTATGGCGATTTGAGTGGCGATGGTTTGCCCGAAGTAATATTTGTAAGTGTATATAAAAACCGCAACGTTTTTACCCTATTAAAAAGTAATCCCGAAGCCTCTGAAAGCATGCTGAAAAAAGTGGCATCTTTTGAGATTGTAAACTGTACCGAAGAATGAATTTAGAGCGAAACAAGAACGAAGACAAGCTGAAGATGATGGTGAGTGATGTGCGCAGCAAACTGGCCAAGATTCACCTGGGTGGCGGCAAAAAGAAAATTGAAAAGCAACACGCCCAGGGCAAGTTAACGGCTCGGGAGCGCATTGATTTTTTACTCGACAAAGGTTCTTCGCGTATTGAGATTGGCGCTTTTGCGGGATATGAAATGTACGAAGAGCACGGGGGCTGCCCCAGCGGTGGCGTGGTGGTTATGATTGGCTACGTTTCGGGCCGACAATGCATAGTAGTGGCCAACGATGCCACGGTAAAGGCTGGCGCCTGGTTTCCCATTACTGGCAAGAAAAACCTGCGCGCCCAGGAAATTGCTATGGAAAATCACCTGCCCATTATTTACCTGGTAGATTCTGCGGGCGTTTACCTGCCCATGCAGGATGAGATTTTTCCCGACAAAGAGCACTTCGGACGAATTTTCAGAAACAATGCCGTGCTGAGCTCAAAGGGCATTCCGCAAATAGCGGCCATTATGGGCAGCTGTGTAGCCGGAGGTGCCTACTTACCCATTATGAGCGATGAGGCGCTGATTGTAGATAAAACGGGCTCCATCTTTTTGGCGGGCTCCTACCTGGTAAAAGCAGCCATTGGCGAAGACGTTGACAACGAAACCCTGGGCGGGGCTACCACCCACTGCGAAATTTCCGGGGTTACCGATTACAAAAGCAAAGACGACAAAGACTGCCTCACTTCCATTCGCAATATTATGGACAAGCTGGGCGATGCGAACAACGCGGGATTTAACCGCAAAAAGCCCAAGGCCCCCCAGAAAAATCCGGAAGAAATTTACGGCATTATGCCGGTGGACAGCTCCAAAACCTACGATACCCACGAAATTATCGATCGCCTGGTGGACGGCAGCGAATTTGAAGAATATAAAGCGGGCTACGGGCAAACCATTATTACCGGGTACGGCCGCATTGACGGCTGGGCCGTGGGCATAGTGGCCAATAACCGGCAGGTGGTAAAAAGCAAAAAAGGCGAAATGCAATTTGGCGGGGTGATTTACTCCGACAGTGCCGACAAGGCCAGCCGCTTTATCGCCAATTGCAACCAAAAGAAAATTCCGTTGGTGTTTTTGCAAGACGTTACCGGCTTTATGGTGGGCAAACGCAGCGAGCACGGGGGCATCATAAAAGATGGCGCCAAAATGGTGAATACCATGAGCAACAGCGTGGTACCCAAGTTTACGGTAATTATGGGCAATAGTTACGGGGCCGGCAATTACGCTATGTGCGGAAAGGCCTACGACCCGCGCTTGATAGTGGCCTGGCCCAACAGCAAACTGGCCGTAATGGGCGGCTCACAGGCGGCCAAGGTGCT